TTTCGTTGATTCTGAGAAAGTGTATTCAAAATTTCACGTGATTTTACAGCATTTTTTGGTTAAACCTCTGTAGTAAGCTTATTCACGAAAATAGGATTTATTTGAATATGTTTTGGGTAACGAGTAACTTCACTACGAAGGAATACATTAGTCAGGCATAAATTTGAATAAATTTATTTAGATTTGTTAAATTCACGCTTACACATATTTACATATAAGAAAAACTGTGAACTTACTAGAAGTGTTTGTAGAATTACGTTGACATTGACAAGAAACCTGACCTCTGTTTATTTTGGAACTGTAATGTCAAACGTTGTGTATTTTTACCTTGGTTTCGTTTGTATATCAAATGAACTAATTAAATGAATTGAAATTGTTTGAGTCAACTATCCAGCTAGCGGGAAGGCAGAATATCACCAATACGACCTCAAAGTAGTTATGAGACTTCTTTGCTTGATACTATCTGATTTAGTTCCCTTCATGTTTTGTTTTTCTCTGAATGGTCAATATATTGTCAAGTGGAAATAACAACAGACTGACACAGATGAGAAAAGTGTGAAACCCAAAGAGGGTGGGAACAACTGTTGCCCTAGTTCGAAGTTAGTCAGTACTACACACGTATGCCAGAGCGACAGTGAGCCTAGGATTACCAGGTTCCATGCCACAGACCGCAGAACCTAGTTACTAGTCTGAAATATAGTGATTCGTATTTTGTAGTTAGCAAAAGCGGCAGAGCACCGTTCAGCTTCATTTAAAGCACCCACCGCTTCTCTACATTTTGATTTTCCCCTTGAGAAACAGCCAGAAAACCTAACCAATGCCAAAACTTGCAAGCATTTTGAAATACATGATTTAAAAACTGTAGCTAAATGGTAACACTTTCACCATGAAGGGTGAAATTGTGTGCTCAGTGGGTGGCATGTATGTGTATTCTATCTAAGCAAAATAAAGGCGGAATAAACAACGAATATTTACTGTTGTTTGGTTCCCAGTAGACCTCTAGTTGATTTTAGTCAACCACAAGCATTCCTATGGGTTCATCACAGATCACCAAAAATGCCGATTACCTTGTTCATAGATTGACTATCTACCCATCTACCCTATTCTAGAAAACAGGATCTCACTTGGAATAGCAAACACAGGAAAGTAAATACAATGTGGCCGCTTAAACAAACAAGCAAAATTTTAGTATTCAAAAGTCAGCAACGTATGAAAATAGGACAAAACATATGTATTTAAACTACAACGGAAATATTGATTTAACAGGTTATGACCTAAGCCAGGGTAATTCAAGGGTGGAATAATCCAACTATTGTGGAAACATTGATGGGATAGAAATTGAATAGTCTCATTCAAATCACAGCAATATTCGAGATTCGTTTCCAGCATGCACAAGTGAAGCGGTAAATTATCAAGAGTTGATCTGTAAATCCTAGTGTAAAAAGTATCAACTTTCAGGATCTAGGAGAGATAAAATGCTTTTTAAAAACATACTACAGTTGTGCTGAACTAACTTTATGAGATTAAGTTAATTTTTATTTTGAATGAAATATTCGGAATGATGAACGCCAGTGTAATATCCTAACGGTATCACGGTTATCTGAATTATTACTGGGTACATTACATAGGTTTTAACTGTCTGGAAAAGGGATTATTCAATTTCACATCACTACAGATAGAATATTTTCTACTTCTTCATTCTTGTACCGTGATTAAAAGTGTTAGTGTTTATGACCACAGATTAGAAATTAGAGACTTAGAATAAACACACTTGTTTCATTTTTAATCCTCCTGTTGTTGAGTGGTTTATTTCAGAAGTGAAAAAGTCTAAATAAAACCTGTTGAATATAATAATAATAATATATGTTAAAAATCTGTTAATGAAAGTAGACTTTAAGTTTTCAAACTATACACTCATTTCAGCATTTAGATAAATCACATTTCAACTGAAACCTACGAAAACTTACGAATAATATTGCAACTGCATTTTATGTAAGACAAAGTCCGAGACGTTCGGACTTTCGTCATTATTTCATCACCTTACCTTTCTACTCACTTCACTCACCAAAGCTGTCGTCCAGCTATAATTAAACTGAGGGATACATAACAATCAATACATGATTTATTCGGCAGTTGCTCAACCTAGTTTCTTCATTGAATAGCTGGCTGAACTAGTTCTGAAAAAGGATGCAGGTAAACCGTTGATGATAAGCATTATATTGATAAGTGATAGTATAATTAGGAGATTCTGATTAGGCTTGACAAAACGTCCTCCTACCAATCAATAACTCATAAAGTTGAAGCCGTTACCGATGTTTTTCATTCCACTTTTAATTAGTACCCCTTACATTCATATCTGTTGGCTAAGTTAAATATGTCTAACGTACCATTTAAGGTGTTTATGCCAAATGAAATTGTACATAGAGTTATTAGAAAACGCCTGTTTAGCTGGTGGCAGCTGAAATGAAATGTATGAAAGCATTCAAGATGTATCTTTGTTCCATTCACAAAATCAAAGGATAATATGTTCATCTTTCAAATAAGGGTAGAATGTCAGGACCATGGGAGAGTATAACCCTATGTTAAATTGTTTATATGATATAGCGGGCAGTGTTTCAGTATTGTTTCGTATATTAGTATTACTCATCAGTTAATAAAACTGTTTCACTGTGTGCCATATAAAACAAACGATTCAATAAAAAATTTTCTCTTTCCATTCCTTGATCATTGGTGAAAACAACAAGGAAACCATTTCTTCTTTGTTCCTTGGACAGAAAATGTTTAAGATGACCCTCACTTCGATGTTTTACATCCTTTTTCGAACTATGCAATTTTTATTAGTTGTTTCTGAGGTATTTCATCATAAACGTTACTTTAATTGTTTTCGATTGCTGACATTAGTCGCTTATATTTTTGATAACCACTGAAATTGTCTTCCCTATGTGCCCATAAGCATGTTTTCAACTATATGGATATGTAGATAGCCTCAGTCCAAGTTCTTATTTACTTTAGAGTGAATATCTATTGCACAATATCTGAGTTTGAGTCTAACAAAAATTTTGAATCTGAAAATCTAGTTGTTCCAAAAAAGACCCATTACCGTTTTCACGGAATGATTTTGACCATTAATGATCACCTTTCTTAAAAACTTTCTGAATCAAATAAATTGTAAATCCAGCTGTCGAAATCTCTCATGGAAAGGATATCAAAATCATTCACGGGGGTTGTAGAAAATCCAGAACTCAGTTAAAGTATACCTTAGTAATGGTGCTACTGTGTAAATAAATTTCAGTTGTCGAAAAATTAAAGGAAGTATGAAAGCTTAACAGCACCAAACTGTAGGAACAACTTCACCGGTAAGGGTGTTTGATCCTGTAGTTAAACAGTAAACCTCAAGTGTATAGATGCCTTTCCCTACTAAATAAAAACAAATTCCTCTTATCATTCAACTGTAAATCAATTCATTGAGAGATATCAACCTCTCAAGAACAATGTTTTGGAATATCATGTAAGGGACGCATTTCACTTACTTTTAAATTATTCAAGGACGAAAATTTGCAAAAAACACTCGTGTCGATGTTTTCTTTTTCTCTTCATTAGTGTTCCAATAACGGTAACAACTTGATCCCTATGTGACTGCATTTACCCTCAACACATGGACATTTGCGTCCCGATGTGACAGCAAAATCAACTGGAAAGTAGATTATTTTGTTATGGGGTTGCATCTAATGCTAGTCTTGTCTGAATTATCGGTCACATATGGACAGCATCACCTTTTAAGCAGTAAGTGAGCGGCATAATGTCAACAGGAGGCATACAGATGTTACCTTTTTTCTCTGTAATAAAAATATGAATCTATAAACCTCCTTTAGGATGTTTCACTTGTGCTTACTACTATATCAACTTCACTCTAGAAGTAAAGTGAAATTCAAAATTCCACTCCGATAGATGTTCAGTTTAATCCAAGTCCAAACATTAGGTTTTCAGAAAACAATTGTGAAAATTAACTATTCGGCTTCTCCAAGGTCTAGAAAGTTACCAACAATGAAGAACTGAAGAAACTGTGACAAACTGTAATTTAAAATTTATTTCTACCGAAACAAAAATTAGAATTTCAACCTAAAAAGCGTCACTGTATGTCTGCGCCATGTTTAAGAAGAGGGTTCGCTGCTGAGCACTATTTTCTAGCACAACAGTGATGCAACATTTCTCAAGAAACAACTGACAAAACACACAAGCTGGACTTTATTTGCTGCTTTTCTCAGGATCTGATTATCCTATCAGAAATTTATTCGTACTCGAAAGAAAAATTTTGGCGTTGGAGCACATACATGTATATACATCAGTTTGCTTGCTTTTACGGAACAGGAAGAATGTGTCTTGGAATATATCAGATTGTTAAGCGTACTAGTAAACACTCTCCACGCTCGATAGCAAGGAATGAATGCAAATACACCTTCTTCTGCATGAGAAAACCCCGTAAGCTTAGTACATTTTTACCTTTTGAAAAATCCCTAAACAGTTTGCTTGAAGATAATTTCAAGCAGCTGAAGCAGTAGTTCAAACTGTTTCTATACTTTCATAAGCGGTGTATGTTATCTTTTTTCTGATATGGGAATCAGAAAGTACTGACCATTCTAATGAACTTCTTTCTGACGCAGTTCAGTTTCAGCTTCTAATCCCTAGCTTATTTTTTCGTGTAGGTTATCCATCTCACTTTTTATTGTGCAGTGTATTTTAGACCTTGAAGGGGCAATATAATAGACTGTTCTATCTTTTTCAGTGTGCATTAGTGGATCTACAGCTAAGTTAATGAGGTCCTTAAAATAAATGAATTTTCTTTTTGAAACTTTCCCCCACATTTTTCCCATGATCAAATAAACTCATACCCATAATTCTTAAGTTTGATAATCTTTTCTGTTCAAAACGTATGAGTCAAAGTTTTCTTGTTTATTTGCTTTTTGTTCTTGTCTTGATATTGTTTTGATTTTCATCGTCAGGTAAACGCTACAGATAAGGATATAGGAATGAATGCACAAATTTACTACAGCCTGGAAAAGAATGAACTGAATACACCCTATTTTAAGATAGATCCCATTACCGGTTGGGTTATGACTACAGCTGAGATCGATCGTGAAGCTCAGTCAACTTTCCAGGTGAGCTGGCTACATTATATTTTTACTTGAATAAGAAGTATCATAAACTCGGGGAATCCACCAGAGGGACTCATCAATTTCTAATGCAGACCTGTAGCTGCAATTCACTATCGGTAACCTTATCAGGGGAACGCTTTGGAATTTCACAATGATGCATACTACTGCAGATCATCTTAAAACAAGAGTACTCCTTTCAACTTAGTTCTGGTTGCCCGAACGATATTAAACCATTAGTCATATGACCATCACAATAGCTGGAGAATAGTTATTATAATTGCCTATCAATTCTATAAGAAACGACCAAAAACTAGTAGTTCGTAGTCATAACGATAACAATAACAACTACCTCTTTCAAGTGCCTTGATTAATTTATCGATTTCAATAAATGTTACTTTAAAGGCCTGACAGTATTTGTCAAAAACAAACAACTGGGATTTAGTGCTAATTTAAGACTTCTTGTAAGTTTACATCGCTGTCTGTTCATGTTACAAAGTTTTCCTCCAGACACTTCCATAACAATAAGATATTTTTACAAAAGCATTTACGGACCTCTCAGTATTTCAATATCATGCACAAATAATTCAATATGTAGTTTGCACAGACTTTCTGAAGTTGTTTTCATCGCCGAATGACATTAGTTAGAGAACTAATGAAAAACTATTAGTTTAATATCTTTTTCTTAGCCTAGATACGTTATTCTTTTATTTTGAGAGTGCCAATTTCTATATTCTCTTCCCTACAACAAAACTGACCACTATTAATGTAAACATCTAACAAGGATATGGCCTATAAATGAAAACACAAGTTCCATCTGTACAAACACAAAATGAGTCTGCAATATGTATTAGCTTATCAGAAAGTAAGGGATGGAAAATAAAAGGCTTCTGTTCTATGATTTAATTAGTTATACTTGCTTTGTTTGTTGTTTACAACAAAAGCAAACAAGAAACAAGATAATAAACAATTCATGCAGAGAAACTAGGGACAATTTTTATCCTAAGCCAAGACCTATTCATTTATGCTAGTAATCTTTTCAGATACCAGAAGCCAATATCTTATAGTTAGATACACTTTTGTTATGGTTATATTCAACGATCTGTAGCCTGCATTTTAAAGTTCGTATTTGAAACACGTAAGTAAAGATTTATTTTTCTCAATTTTGAGTGAATATAGACTATTAAAGTTTACAGACAACTGATTTCAACAACTGCAACTAATACACAGAAAGTTATTTGCAGATAAAACTATGCTAATTTCATAAAAACTGATTATAAGTCTCTTGATTCCATCAATCTTACTCAATGGCTTCCAAGTCACTTCTTGTATTCAAGGAATTTATACGCTCACCAATATCAGCTCTGATCCTGACCACGTATCGCGTCACTGTTTAGCAGTTACGTACCTTAATTAGTAGCTGCTTTGCAGACGTCTTAAAGTATTTGTCAGTGAACACACTGCTAAAGTGCATCTCATGGTGAATAAACAGCCTGAATTTGAAAGTCCATGAGAACTAGATTACCGTAACCTCGAGTATGTTGATGGTGAACACTATTCAGCACAACCCACCAAGTTTACTAGAGTGATAATACTAAAGTATTTCCTTACTTTTACCACAGCTTACAGTTCTAGCAATAGATGGTGGTTTTCATACACGAGACAATCAGTCATTCAGATCTACAGGCAGTAGTACAACTCATCACACAGCAACAACGCAGGTGCTCATCAGCATAACTGACGAAAATGACAATGCGCCAGAATTTCACGGTCCAAGACAATTCGCTGTAGCAGAAAATCAGCCTTCACAAACATGGATTGGTGATCTCCAAGTACTTGATAGAGATGAAGGGTTCAATCATGATGTGACATTTAAGCTCCTACCTAGTAAGCTGGTAAACAGTAATAGCCAACAGATTTTGAATAAAGGTCCTAATAACTTCACCATGAACCATGATCTGCCAATCCAGTTATTGAACAACGGAAGTTTATTCACTACAAAACCATTAGACAGAGAGAATCAGGTAAACAATTTTCACTTTTTCATTGATCCTTCATACTTTTTGTTTAAATACTTCATCACAACACATGAATGAATGTAACTCATAAAAATTCGGGGTTTGGTTGTTGCAGCTTTTGATGGTATGATGAAGTCTGAATTTATCTATAAATAAATCGGCGCGTGGAAGTATCTCTTAGCCTTCTTTTCATACATAAAATCAGTTGTATCTTAATTTTCAATGCGTAGCTGAAGTCCTTAGGTCATCCTCCACATAATACTTTTTGAGCTGTACATGAACAGCATCCTTACAGTTCAGCCTCTGACTTTATTCAAGTCTCTTCAGATAATACTTTTATATTAAATACAGATCACAAAAAGTGCTATGTTACAACCCTCTTACTAGACGCGTCAGTCACTCAGTCTGTTACAAACGAAGTATATAGTTAGTGAAGTTCTAAAAGAACCTAGTTAAGATTGGATAGTAACCAATCTAAAATCAATTAATAAATCACCACAAACCTCAAGATAAAAGAAAGCATTTCCCGGTTTTTACAGTTTGCAGACACTGTGAACTGAAAGTTAAAACACAACTTATACTTTCAAACTTCGAATGCATTGAGATCAATTTCATGAAGAGAAATTCTCTCTCTTTCCGTTTGCCAGACCTATATTTTTTTTACAGTCGAATGATTTTAACTGATAATGGATTTTTCCTGCGTAGTCCTTTCAGTTTGTCATCTTACGTAATCACGTATTCCTGGTATTCATTAGTCAGTAGAGAGTATTCAAGCCCATGTTGTTTGGTTCTGAGTGATTGAATTCCGTCGATCATTTAAACAACTAATTTACAGGAAGCCCAACCAAAAAATAAGTTATTCTTCTGTCATTGGAATATCACTCTGAAATAGCCTTGAAGTTTTTATATTCTATTACTATTTTTCACTTAGATTAACTTATTGGCTATCTTGCTCTCAATTTATAAAGCATGTTGAAATTTATTTCCTTCTGAAAACTAAAAGCTTTTAAGCAACCAAAATTCACCAAATTCCACAAATACGGCTGTTAGCACTCACAAAAGTTATTTATATGTAACTAAACTCAAAGAATAGTAATAAGTGCAGAACTCTTTGTCAAAGATTCATTTTAAGGTGATATTCTACACCAATTGTTGTCATTTGAAGAACCACTAAAAAATCTAAAAACACTAAAAGGTGTTCTATTTCAGTATGAGGTTTTCAGCAGTGCACACTCAAAACTACACAAAGGATTGAAACTAGCACCTTCAGTTATCACGATGAGTGTGTTATCTTTGAGTCACTAGGTCGAAATCCAATAATCGGCATTCTTCAAATGTCTTTCAGTCGTGAATATTTTGCTTCAACCATCCAGTTCCATCAGCAAGCACGAGACGCACATCTAAGTCAATCGAATCCAGAAGTTTTAGCTTCTTATTAGAACTTCAAAAAACTTATCTCGAAGCATGTCAATAATGGGCACTGGGTGTTAATTGAGACTGAGTGATGGATTTAAAGGTGGTATTCCTAACAGACTGATAACAGCAGCGTGATCACCATAAAATCCAGACGTCCTCACTTGGTTATCGTTTATGATAGTAGGTGAGCACCGCTAAAAGTTTTCGCTGAGGCCTAACTCGTCGACAGCCTGGTCTACCCTGACGCGTGTTGTCAACAGTCAGTCATCTCAGTGTGTGCACAATCCAATTCATCTCCACTTTCCTCTGCATATTTCTTGGCGGTAAGTTCTTGGTTGGTTGGTTCGTTGCCAGCCGGCGTGAGTTCCTTGTTGCCTATTCTTATTATTCTGGCCATCTGATCTTCAGTGAGAGTGAGTGTAGGCGACAGTCTGTCTGTAGTTTGTTGGAAATGCTTCTTGTAACGCGCCAAGTCTCTCAATCATCACAGAGAAGCACTGACTTACTTGACTGAATTAGTGTTTAAAATCCGCAACTTGTTCACGCTTTATGCCGAGTGCAGTGCAGTTAATTAGATCTCCACACTGCTTTCAGATTAGTGGACGCTTGTATTTCTGTCCTTCCGATCCTGAGTTCAGCATCCTCAAGTGAAAGAGACAACTTCGTTTAGATTTCTCTCGTTGATGGTGATTAGTGCTTGTTGTTGTTGGTTGGTTACTTATCTTCATCACCTACGTCTTCTCCACGTTCACCTGAAAGTAGTCTCATCCTCTCTGCCATGCCTCTTCCGTCAATTCGTTGGTTTTCACCTGTTGATCTTCGAGTTTGTGCGACATATCATATTAGACACAAATCACCATCGTTGGCGAAATCCAAACACTCTATTATGTTTTCACCGCATCGGTTCAGCCGGTGTATGCCCATCTTCTCGCTCCTCACTGTTTGTTGCATTATCCAATCGACTAAAATCAGGAGGATCATGTGTGATAGTAGGCGGCAGCCTTGTCTTACTCCTCCCTGTCTCCACTTCGAAGGTGTCACTGAGCTTTCCATTGTGAATCACTTGGCATGTGGAATCGTCTTGTAGCTGTTGAATGAGCTTGATGAGGGTTTGTGACACTAAAAACGTAGTGTTGAAGCAGCTGCCAAATTACTTCTCGGTTGACACTGTCGAAGGCGTTTCCGAAATCGATGAAGTTGAGTTGAGGTAAAGATCTGACTGCCATTCTCTGCTTCCTTCTGCGGTGATGCGTAGTGTCTTGTTGCGACTTGATCCCCACATGATTCGTTCTTCCTGGAGTCAGTCATCCAGGCTGTTCCAGTTGTAATTTTGAATCCAGCACATCCTTCAGTCTCTGCAGGATGATACGACTCACTATTTTGTTTGGTGTGGATGGAAGCATGATTCCACACCAGTTCTTGCAAACACTTAGGTCCCCATTCTTCGGAAATTTGACAAGGTAGCCCTTCCTACAGTCTCCAGGTACATTTCCTTCCCTTCAAACCTTTTGCAATTGTGGTGTGAGAGTGTCAGCTGTTGTCTCTGCGTCTGTTTTCAGTGCTTCTGGTGGAATCCCATCTGGTCCTGCTGCTTTCCTGGATTTCCTCAACATTACGGTGTTCAGGACTTCACTCCTACTTTTGTTGGAGTGTTTGTGTTCACTTGTAATTCTGTGGTTGGTCTGTTGGTGGTGTTTCTGGACGAGTTGTAGGTGGTCGTGGTGGTGGTCGATTTAAGAGTATTTTGAAGTGGTCAGCCCATTGTTTCCTGTGTTTCTCCTCTTTGGTGACTAGCTTTCCTTCACTATCTTACACTGGTCTCATCTGCGTTGATCTCTTGCCTCCCAGATAGTAACCTAGTTGTTTGATATGTTGTTGTCAGGTCTCTGACTCTCCTACCAACAGCCTGTTCTGCTTTAGTTGCAAGTGTGCCGTAGAAGTGTCTGTTGTCTGTTGTCCGCGCACTCTTCTTCACTTCTCTGTCTAGTGTAGTGTTTTATAGGTTGTGTTCAGTTCCTCGTTTCGTTGTTCATCCCTACCTGCACTGCAATGCACTGCACCGCACTGGTTCATCTTCTGATTCACCATCACCATCTTCCTCTTCCTCCTCTGTCAGCTTCCATTTGTCTGTCAAGATGCATTCCTATCTTGTCTTGTCTTGTCTTGTTTCCTCTGCTTTTCCTAACACGGTTATTCAGGTTTCCTTCCACGTTGCTTTCACAGCTCAGGGGTTCAGTGTTCTTCGATGCAGATTTCTTCTAGGATGTTGCCTGATGTCTCCGGTTTTGTTCTGATGACTGACGTGAATGCTATTTAGAAACACGTTTGGATTTTCAGTACGACAAGATTGTAGAATACCACCACCTGTCTGATAATTCGATTCTTCTTTACTGTCAATGAAATTATAATCTTTCAATGTTCACAAGGAATTTTATTTATTTTTTTGGGGCAACTAGATTTTGCCTTCTTACAAGTTAGGCACTGTTTTAACTTTGTCACGAGTGAAACTAACAAATACTTTCAAAATCGGGAGAAGCATTCTAGCTAAGATTCTTTTGATTTATTGTTAGGGATATTTTTAGAGATTTTACTTACAAACTTAAGAATATCATAAACTAATATATGGATTGCTGGATGATTTTCGAAGCACAATAATGGTATTTTTGCCCCCATAATTCAATAAAATAATCCTATATCATTGACTGCTACACCGAATAAACTTATATAGAACTTCTGGTTATACTTTTTTCAATTCTCAGTATACTTTCGTTCGATTTTTCATACAACTCAGAGCTTTGATCACTTCATCGGATTGAAATCTACTTTCTGTTTTCTTGTCTAGTCACACTACTGTTTCGAAGTTATTGTAACCGATCAAGGTGAAGATAAATCACATTCCACCGTAGATACTATATGCGTACGTGTACTGGATGTTAATGATAACAGACCATACTTCATAGAAATAAAAGGAGGGGATCAAAGTGAGTGATAATTTTTTTCTAACTGTTGAATATGGTCTATGTGATTCCAAGTTCATTTAATTCAAAAATACTGCTGTATTTTACCGATTGCAAATAATAGAAAATGAACAGACCACGTACATCCTGTACTAACCTTTATCTTCTGTGTTAGAATTTAGAAAATGTCTTCATAGTTCACATTATTATTGCATTAGTTTGTATCAGGTTAGATTTAGGGTATCTTATACCTCATCTTATACTTCGGGATTGTTGCCAAATAGCGTGTGAGAGGAATACCCACACCGTGTGTTTGCTTTGTGATACAGAGCTCGAATAAGTACCGTATCTGTTTCTTCACTCATCAGGTTTGAGATATCGGAAAAATTAGACTTCCCAGATGAAGCATAATACAGACAGCAAGCGTGCAACTAAATTTGTGCCCCGATTTACTAGATAGAATAGCTTTCAACCAACAAACCTGTTAGAATATCTCAGTTGATATGCTACTTATTTCAGCATAGCATTAGTGTTTTTTTTACTGAACATAAAGTGATTTTGAAAACGTTATTCCTGACATACAACATGCTTGTAAAATTTGATGTCTTCAGTTTTTGTTGCTTTTTTTGGAATTTAGTTAGTTTGACAATATTTGTAGAGTTCTGAACACTCATTCTGTGATCCCAAAAGTTTCAAACCACTTATGCACATTGGTGTAGAGTAAATTGCCGACGAATTATTTATTTGTTGACTTCAATCGATCGATTAAACTGTACCTTGCTAACTGTTGTGAATCAATAAGAAACAGAGACTTGATTCACTCTATTTCCCCGCTGAATATGTAAAAGGCTAAACCGACGATGTTTAACAACTCACGCAATCTTTTCACCATCTCTTCGGACACAATCAAGTACTAATATTAAAGCACAAACAAATAATGAATTTATATTCATCTTATCTTTGTGAACAGTCTGACAAGTCATGAAAAATGTTGCCTATATGGAACTAAAATTCGAAGTACCACGTTCTGAAATTCGTTTGAAAGTCTGGTAGAAATTGTAGGGTGGTAGATAATAAGGGCAGATTTAACCAACATTGCGTAAGATGATGAAAATTTTACTCAATAAGACAAGATGATAAACCCAATCTTAATAGATATATGTAGGTGTATAGATGACATATATTACAGAACGTTATCAAGAAGTCATTTTCGAATGAATCAGCAATGTTTTATTAACGCGGAAATCGGCACTTGATCTACTGATAATGAATGTTTCTACAGACCCTTTCTGATATTTACCACAAACTCTTCTGTTAAGTCACTGAAGTGAAATAGTTACCCACTTGTAGAATACTTATTTACTAAGCTTCTTGATGAGAAAAGTTCTCCAGTTTTGTGATGGTGCTGAAATCTCAGGGCATATATTTTTCCCTTTTCTGAACCTGTGACATCCACAACATCTTGAGACGTAAGTTTAGTAGGCGTAAGGTGTAATCGGTTCGATATACAAATAGATTTTTGGAAGCAAATATGAAATACGATGAAAGAATTTTTTTTAAACGAAAAAACTTCTAGTCTTTAGTAATTTTATTACATCTCGAACAAATTTATATGGAATTTTTTACTTCATTTTCTTTTGAATTTCATGTTCAGCTATAGAAAACATGACTGTGAACCATTCATTACTTGCAACTGATTCCTTCAACTTTCATTCTGATGTAGTTAAGCAAAATTTAGTCCAACGAAATATTTCGAAATTTTCAGTATTAGTACGTTTATCATTCCGCGAAATACCAGGTTATTGCATTTTGGTTCCCAAAGCACTTGATGAAGATGAAGGTGTAAACGCACAATTACGATATACTATCGCATATCAGCATTCAAATATAACTCAACATGATAGTAAAAAGGATGGTATACTTAATGCATTTGCGATGAATCCGCTGACAGGACAACTAACGTTAACAAGAAATTTACGTCATGATGAAATAGGATCATATGAAATAATATTAGGTGTAGAGGACCGTGGAAAGCCAGTTCTTAAGACAGAAAAGGTAAACATTATTTAGACACCTCTTTTAATTTTTTTTTGAACTTATAGTTATCATGACAAATTTGCCATTGAATAAACTTCTTAAGTGTTCATTGTTTCTATGTACTTCAACAAGATTATAGATTACGTGTTGTCATGACACAAGCAGTAACAGTTCTTGACAAGGAAAGTGAACGAAGTCAATATTTTTTAACACTTGCACAAAAGCTTAAGACTGTATAATGTTAAAAAGCTTATTCAAATGAAAAAATAGTGTCTGATTGAACTTGAAGAGTCGTTTACTCGTTGGTATCTTTTGGCTTCATCATGCTCATTTATATAGGAGTAAAACTTGGGCACCAGGGTAGAATTTATTTCCTTATTAGATTTGTTTATTTGACATAACACACAGTGATATGGTGTTATTTACTTTATGCTCGAAACGTCATCAAGTACATAATACTAGATCACTGTGTGTTATAAATCAAATAAGCAAATCTAATATGGAATCATGCTCAGTTCTTACTAAAGGTTCGGTCACAAGTTGGCTTTTCTGTTCAGTCAAATGAAAGTCTCTTTTACCTAAAAAGAAAGCAGACGAAGTGAAAAGTCCAAAGAGTGCAGCATTTAACAAATATATCTCATTGTGACAAACAATTTTATCTGGATAATTCATGTACATGATATCAGATATTGAAGAAGCTGATAAGTGTAAAAGGTAAAACATTTTCTTTAACCTTCAATACTACTTGACCTGTTATTTTTATGTCACTGAAAAGAGATTACTTCGGTGATTTCATTTTTGGAAGTCAGACACTAACTTCTGTCATTTAGCAATATCAGAGATACTTCTAAATTCTCTTTCTAATTATTACGACTAAAACCAATGTTTTCAAGGAAATTATACAGATTAAAATGCTTTAACTAAATCTTAAAAGAAAGACTTCAAACGAAAGTCTAACACGTAGTTATTTCTTCACTACATCACAGATCCAGCTGCTTTATCTCTAGCGCTGAGCATTCCTCGATAGACTTTGATCCTTAACACAGGTTTCGACAACAAGAAGAACAACAGTCTCACTAATATAAAAACTTCAGCACTACGGTACAGAACCATTTGATTCCGGGACACAGTGATACACTAGAATTCATTGTATATGGTTCCGTGGAGAACGTTTTGCTCATAAACATATCAAAGTAATCAAAGTAATCGAACTTCACTTATATTGTCCAAAAACTAATGGTAGAAACGTTTTCCGAATATCTGCAATATGTTATAAATTATTTTTGTTGTATGTGTTAGGTACTGATTCAATGATCAAATTACACTGTATCACTGTGTGCTACATCAAATAAACAATCTAATATGGAACAACGGTCATCTCATAGTTGGTTAAAATCCGCAAATTTCCATTTCACCTCCTTATATCCCTGCCCTAAGAGTACTCAAATAACAGGTTCCATCAAACTTGTGAATACAACGAATATCAGTTTTGGCCATGTCTAAAATTCATTAAAAAACAGGATGCATACGTGTAGAAAAAATTGAAGAGATTCTCATTCATATGCCTACTGCCTTTTGTCCACAAGTATTATCGTGAAATAATTCATGTAAAATTTCAAGAAACTTATGGTTGAGACGGTATAATGAACAGATAGAATCAGGTTTATTTGAATTTGACGTTAAATAAAACTGAGTGTACTTTGGGAGGTTATTTAGATAGACCCACAACTGGCATTGAGTTATGATGTATGATCATGTCAATGAACGTTAGTGTATTGGTACATAGGCGAAAGGTTTTCACTTGCAATACATGAATACTTTAAATGATGGTTTAAAATAGACGGAACGCAAATCATGAAGATAGAGTAGAAAATAATAGACCTTTTGTAGTGGCAAGAGATGATCAGCAGTAGCAGTAACAGAAATATACGCACAACGATAATAACAAAGTTAATGTATTACGTAATAAGGATGTGTCAGTGTAAGTAGTAGATTCAGCAAGGAATAAAAAGAGGTTAGGGGTTAGTAGTATATCCGAATGATAAATAAATGTTCAGTAGTATTAGGTAAGAGGAGAAATATTGTATTTATCCTTAATACATAAATCAACCCTTCTGATATTAATTTTGATGACTTCAAGCTTAGTTGAAAAACCCAACCCAGTTACTTTTGGCAGATTATTTGATTCTGGGTTTATTTCCAAGAAGAGGCAATTTATTTCAATTTTGTGTCTGAAGTCTGCAGGTGGGACAGAATAGCACCATAAGTGAATCGGAAACTTATTTCCCAAATAAACTCCCTATATATTCACGGACCTGTAAAATTAAAGCCCTCTTGGCATGACCTACGTAATTAACAACATGAAAACAGCTAAGTTCCTTCACTATCATCATTGGTAATTTATATATAACATCTTGTATCTGTACTGATGTGGTTGAAAAACTGACGTCTAAAGTGATGTGACTGAGTGGATTTACTCATGGACGTAAATAAATACGGATAACGGAATGCAAATACAGTCAGTCTATGCAGGAACAACTACTTCTTTTCCCTTATGTTATACTGAGTGACAGAAACATCTAAAAGCACGCGCTGCTTTGTGATTGCAAGGGAAAGAATTTCACTAAGGGAAGAGTACACCATGTGCATACTTTTTTATTTAGGCAGAGCTACTAAGAAAAGGTTGAATAGCTGACTCTCATTAGTGCACCAAATCATCACTCTGCATATGAATGTCATCCTTACAACATAGCAGCATGTATCAAAAGCTGATGCTCATAAGCTTCTACTTCTACGTTGATTTTTGACTTCTGCTGCTTTTTATCACAGTTGGACCCCTATGGAAGTCCTTTCATTGGGTAGGCAAGATCAACATGTCAGCATATTACTCTCTGTATCCACGTGAAGCTCTGAAATTAAAAACAGTTTTCAAGACCCAGCATACATCCAAATTTTAACTTAAGGTCACAGATTGCAATACCTCGCTGAATCTACCTGGATAACACTTTTGATAAAATTTCTTCTTCGGATTCACCATTTCTTCATCTATAAAATCTCCAGAAACTATCATTCTTATTCTCCTTAGGAGACGTCCAATAGAGCAGTTGAAATTATTTGTCAAAAAATAACAATAATTGACAGTAAAGAAATTGGATCTTACAGTCAAGCTGGATTCGGCATTTTGACCTTTTATGTTCTCATTTCTTGTATTTCTACTCAATTTTGTATATTCTTCCCCCGAGAATCCTCATTAGTCATTTCCTATTACTTCATCTTATTTTCATGTTGCCCTATATTCTATAGATATGTCTTTTGATAATAAGCGTTTACCAAACTATGACTGAATCGTTAAACCACATCTATTTTGTAGTGCACAAGTGAGATTTGATGGAGTTGGATGTCTTATTCACTCCATATAGTCTTTCTAATAATGTTCTTTTTATTCAGCTGCCGATCTTTTTGTTAACCAGAATGCCTAAAAATCGTAAGATATTTTCCTCATTGAAGGTAAATTTAACAGCAGGATGGACACTGTCGTAATTTCCCAGTAGTTGCATTTTATTTATTTCATTATTGCACAAGATACACGAGTTATTTACATCACAGCTATAGAATTCAATTTTTGGAGTATCCTTAGTTTACCCTAAAAATATCAGCTAATGTTGGATCAACAGAGGAGCATAATGCATCTCCAGATTATTTGTTCATGAAACGCATCATCTAACTTAAAGTGCAGGTTCATCATGCACCTTAACAATAATTATATTATTTGCAGTTAGGTTCTTACACCTTTTCTCATAACTCCAGTTTTCCACCTTTAAATTTCAAAGTTTAAGCTTAACATCAATTCTTAATGACATGACACGGTTAGTTGCGTTCAATTCATGTTCTTAATGCTGTTGACAAATATGAATGAATCCCTTTAACCTGATCCTACTATTTCACTGCTGAAAGGCTTCGGTGCTTCTGCGAGCCAACTTGCTGTTAAATAATTTGTTAAACTAGATGTGATGGGAAACGGAGTTAAGGATATATACTAGATTATGAGCACTTACTAAATCATAAAATCTAGGTGTCTTGATATTATAAGGTATAATCGCCTGACACTTGAAAGCTGGAATGAGTTCCTCTTTTTTCAACGACTCAAGTATACTTATTAGCCCATTCTCGACTGCTTCATTATTGTTTACTTGTTCGATAACTACATTAGTCAAACATATCTAACTCTTACTATGTCTAGTTGAAAGTTTTTGTTAAATGTAATACTTTTGAAAAGCAAAATATGTGTCTCACATAATTTTAATGTTTTGTTATTGACTTCCATGATGTAATCACTTTCACCATTCTCTACAGGTGTTGCTGGTGCAGGTCATTTTCACAGTACTGTTTATATAGTGAAGTGGTTTGTCATTCCATTTAACTCAGCAAATGGGATTACTTGCATGCTAAAATAGTTTAAATACTCGATAGTCTTCATTACCTGAAAATAGTTTCAGAGGTGTCCTTTCATAAAATAAACCTATTCGTATTTATTTGACGCCATCTGAAATCGAATTTCGTAATATAACTAATGTGGACAAGGTTAAAATTTGCAGCTGAGTTTAAGAGATTGAGAATAAGGCTGAGGTGAGTTCATTGTACCAAGTATTGTACGTATATATCTTCTGGGTATGATAATACCATGGCTGGTAATGCGACCTAATAGTCTGTGAGTGAAGCGAACCTAACGTGCAAAAGAATCTGCTATAATGGCTAATCAGGACGTCAGCCACCACAGCAACAATACCACCGGCACGCTGAGTAAAGTAGAGAATATACTTGGTCTGTGGTGGAGAGATGATAGAGCGGTCGCATGATTTTACCAGATGTTATAATTTTCCGAGGGGTTCTACTGAAAGATTGTGTTGTTGGAGTCCATGAAAGTGAAACAATTGGTTGTAATGAGATGTAGTTCGGACAGAGTGGTCGCTCTCTTCGTATCCGTCTACATGAACATCAACTAACAGTGAAGCACCATA